AAAGTATCCTGGCCAATCATCCTTCGAACTGATGCCATTATAGAACTGTAATAAAAGTCATTATCTGTGAAATTACAGTAATTATTGCTGTTTACACTGATAAAAACTGTATTTGGACAGTTTACCAATGCTTATACACTGATAAACAACATTAATTCAACGTTTCGGTTGTGAAATCTTCCATAATTATACAGGATATCTGTAGAAAATCGGTAAAATAAACAGGAAAAACCCGTAAACAGACAGGGTTAGTAGGAGTGCTCTCTCATAACATTTTCTTAACCAATGAGTGCTGACAAAAACAGAACAAATCGTTGATATGAACAAACATCCAAGAATATTTTACATTGCCCATTATTTCAGATATTGTCTTTATTTTGCAGTTTTTTTGTGAAACATCGGACAGTTTCAGTTTCTTTACGTGTTCACAGCTGTAGTAATATAAAACTGCTGCTGCTTCAGTGTTTTACTGAAAGATCATTGATGTACGGCTACAGGACACTTGTGCTTGAATCTCTCTGCGGGGCGTTTGAGGTCTGACTGGCTGTCTGGTCCTTGGGGCTTTGTGTGGACTGACTGGACCGGACCATCAGGTGGGGGAGGCAGAACAAACAGCTTTAGGGCCCCGAGGGCCCCGGAGAGGGAGCCTAGAAAGTATTTTCTGTCTGCTGTAAACCAACTAGACCTGCTGGACCTCAACCTGCTCGTCTCAGACCTGTTTCCCCCTCCGGGGCATGTTTAGCATCCCAACCTGACTGACCACTCTCTCCCTGTGAGGGATAAAAGGAGGCCCCGTCCCAGCAGCTCCTCAGTCTCAGACCTGCAGCCATGACTTCCTCCTCCAGCCGCAGCAGCTACATGTCCTCCCCCATGAGGAGCTCCATGATGATGGGCCCCGCCATGTCCTCCTCCTCCCACCGGTTCAACGGCGTGGGAAGCGGCAGCGTGTATGGAGGAGCCGGAGGGGCTGGAGTTCGTGTCTCCAAGGCCTCCTCCGCCAACCTGTCCACCGGCATCGAGGATGCCGGCAAGGGCACCATGCAGAACCTCAACGACCGCCTGGCCTCCTACCTGGTCAAGGTGCGCTCCCTGGAGAAGGCCAACGGGGACCTGGAGCTGAAGATCAGACAGTTCCTGGAGAGCAAGGTGGCCCCGCAGGCTCACAACTCCTCTGGCTTTAATGTTGAGATCAAAGACATGCAGGACAAGGTGAGGACAGACTTTACCCCAAACTCAGCTGTTCAGAAACCAGGGTCACAGATAAAGTTACACATATTAATATCTGAAGACATTTGGGTGATTTAAACAAAAAATAAAAAGTGGAAAGTCCCTGAATGGTGGATTTGTTTTTCTCATGATAATTTTTCTACCTTTTTTTTTTTCCCAAAGGTTGAAAAAATATTACTTGTGAAAGGCATGTTTTTGATTTTGATTTAGTTTGCTTAAACTGTGGAGCTGCTGTTTCTTTTCTTTTATTACCACTTTGTAGTCCAGTTAAAAACAATTCACCTGTGAAAGCCCTGAAAGGCAAAACACAAATTAGAAAAAAAAAGTATTCCGTAGGGCTTCCGTAGATTTGACCCCATCTGGATAAAATAAGATGTTTCAATAAGGGACAAACATTACTTTGATATTTGTTACTTTTCCAATGAAAAGATGAAGAAATGTTGAGTTTGTAATATGAGAAAAACAGTAAATATGTGTTCAGGTTGCAGCTCAAAGAAAAGACAGTTCAAGTTGAACTGTTTGTTTTGGTTTTTATTATTAGTTATTTCAGCTATTTAAGTTTTTAAAGGAACAAGTTTAATAAACATCTGATATAGTTTCTAGTATAGTATTTTTTGTTTTATAACTTTTTATATGAAGTTTAATAATTTTGCTGTTGTTGGTTTTGTTTTTAAGTTTTTAACTTGAATCACTTTTTTAACAAAACATTTTTAACTAAATGGCCCCTGATCACCTCTGCGTATAAACTTTAACATTATCAGAGAATATAAAAGTCATTTATTTAGTTTCCTGTGAATTAACAGAATTTTAGGTTTGAAACAAAAAAAATTTACATTTAAATAAAAAAAAAATTCTCTTTATCAGAGATAATAAAAATATAAAACAACAATAAAAAACACGTTAATAATTTAAAGGTCATTAAATGTTTTTGGAGCCCCCAGTGGCCGCAGAGCTCCACTGATTCTCTCTCTTCCTTCCTTCTCAGATCTACGCCGCTACTCGTGGAAACGCCACCTTCTACCTCGCCATCGACAACGCCAAGCTGGCCACCGAGGACTTCAAAGTCAAGTGAGTAATAAAGTTATCTGATTACATTTGTAGTTTTTTACTTCAGCGTTCAGACGGGTTCCTGAACTCGTTCTGGTCTGCAGGTTTGAGAACGAGCTGGCAATGCGTCAGTCGGTAGAGGCCGACATCAACGGGCTGAAGAGGGTCCTGGAGGACCTGAATCTGAGCCGCAACGACCTGGAGATGCAGTTGGAGGGTCTGAGGGACGAGCTGATCCAGCTCAAGAGGAACCACGAGGAGGACCTGCTGGGTCTCAGGTCTAAGATTGGAGGTCAGGTGAATGTGGAGGTGGACGCCGCCCCTCAGGAGGACCTGGCCACTGTCATGGCTGGAATCAGAGAGCACTACGAGAACATCAGCCAGAAGAACCGCAAAGCCCTGGAGACCTGGTTCCACACAAAGGTGAGACCACAAAGTCCAGTTTTCTGCTCTGGACTGACTGCTGCCCCCTACTGGCCAAAACCAGCAAGTTTTACTTCAAAAGTTCATTAATTATTCCACATTTTTAAGTTCTAAAGATTAATTAAAGCGTTTAATGGAACTATTTTTATCATTTTATATATTTAGTAAAATGTTTTGTTTTTTAGTTGTATTTTAATACAATTTTGTCTTCTTTAATCATTTTTCCTCTCTTCTTTCATTTCTTTAGTTTTATAATTTTAGGTTTTTTTATATGAACAGGTTTTAATAGTTTTGCTGTTGTTGGTTTTGTTTTGTAGTTTGAGTTTTTCAGTTCTTTGGTCTTCAGTTCAGGGATGTCCACTTCTGTAGATAAAAACATCAGGGAACAAAAGCCATCAGCCAGAACTGCCGCTGAAGGACCTGTGTGTGTTAAAGTTGAGCGATCACTTTCTTTCACATTGGCGCTGTAAACTGATTTCTTCCAGGATGTTTGATGCTTGAATTTCCCTCGGGATA